ATCCAGGCTATGTCAACATATTTATTGGCTACAATAGAAAGACGGATCCGTGTCCGTGAAGCATCTGTCACCACGATATCAACTAGATAGGTAAAGACTAGTTTGCTTAGAAACAAACAGACAGACTCAGCTTCGGCGACATTTAACTTTCAAAGTTAAATGGTATCTGCTTCTATGCGTTACGCATTTCATGGGAAAATAATAGAACCCCCTACAAGGGTACAATTAATAAGTAATTAATGAATCTCTGATACAGCTGCAGTACAAGCTGTGTAAGTGATCGATTAACAAAGCCAATAAACTAGATTAAAACCACTTTTCAAGTATAATTAAGTAATTAGTCATGCTGACTGGGTATGTGAATGAGTACTTTTGAGTAGCATCCATAAGCTGAATCAACGGTTGTGCCAAGTGTTGCCCAATTGCCAAACGAGCGTAATGAATTAGCTGAATAGTTGAATGACTATAAATAAATAGCAGGCAGTCAAATTGTGCGAATGGATATTTCTGAAATGCTTAGGCGAATTTTAAATACATTTGTTCTCAGCCGTTTTGAAGAATATGCTAATTACTCATACTAATTATTTGGTTGGATAAATTGCGTATAATTTCTTGATTTATTATGCCGCATCGCTGATGAATGCTAGTTGCTTTTTATGGCAAATCAAGCAAATTGCAAGTGGACAGGATCAGAAACAAGAAGAACACAGACTTGGGGCAGCCTCATAAATGTTATTCATTCAATTATTAATATCAATTCCATTTGGGGCTAAGCGACTGGCAATCGCTTCGTCCTTTGTTTACGATTGCTTTCAACTTTAATGAAATCCCCGCTTGACAAAGGTTCAATGAAAGATTGATTGAGAACCATTTTGAAGTGCCGGCGCGACCAGGACGAGACAGGCCAGGCCAAGCCAGGCCAGGACACGGCTTCAACTGTGGGCGTGCCGATAATTATGCGCATAAATTAGGCAGGGTAAAGCATTAAGACGACCAAGCAAAGAGTCTAGCAAAGCTGCGGGAGCTTAGCGCAGACTTACTTTGTGGACCACAACTTTGGCTAGGATATTTGGGTGGGAATTAGGGAGTTGCCTTCAAGTGCAAACTATGAAGCGGCGCAAAAGTCGCGGCCAAAAGTTTTCGCAAGCTACAAAACATGCGCCGCAACATCGTACCATATATTGGCCAGATTGGGGCAGGGACCCAATTTGCTACAGGTTGACACCGAGCACTTTCCACACAAATTAGTCAAATTACAAAAATTATGAAATTATAAAGCGCAAAGTTGATTAGCTTTTCTTCAGATTGGGCTTTGATTGCGTGTGGTCCTGGTTCACCTGGCAATAGCTGGCTAGCGACAGGTGACGACATTGTCAACGCGTTGCTATCATAAATTGAGACCAGCAAAATTGTGTTATTCCATGGCCAGCCAGAGGCTATAACATTATATTAGGCAAATTTGCAAAGGCAAAGTTGGCGCTTTTATGCCTTAACTCGGCTAACATTTCATGAATAAAGTCCATTGCCAGACGTTCTAATGGCCGCCAGATAAATTCCAACTAAATGCATGAGACGCACAGAAATTCACATTAAAGATTTAACCATAGATTTAATAAATAAAATATAGTACAAAGCTCTAAGCTCAGCTTAGATTAGCTTATCGATATTTATCGAACGTAAGATTCGAACATCTCCGTTCAATAAAGCATTGTTATATTGAACTCTAATGAATATATAGAAACCTAAACCGACAAGGGGCATTCAATAACATTGTAAACTTTTTAATTACAGGTACATTTACGTCTGTCATGCTCCGATGGCACGCACCTGGTGCACCATGCCGCGAGTAAGGCGTTGCACCTTCTACATAGCCCTGCTGGCGTTTTTGCACCAGCTGCCGCGCTTTTTCGATCGCACCTATATGCCCATGGAGATCGAGTGGAACGGCAACGAGACGGAAGTTTGCCATCTAGAGACATCGCTGTGGGTGCATGAGTACGTTGGCGTGGATTTATATTACACCAGCTACTATCTATTCCGAGTACTATTTGTCAATCTGCTGCCGTGCATTATTCTGGTGACGCTCAACATTCTGCTGTTTGCTGCCTTGAGGCAGGCGCAGGAGCGGCGCAAGCTGCTGTTCCGCGAGAACCGCAAGAAGGAATGCAAGAGGCTGAGGGATTCCAATTGCACCACCTTGATGCTGATTGTTGTCGTCTCGGTTTTTTTGATTGCTGAAATACCCATTGCCGTCGTTACCGCTATGCACATTGTCAGCTCGCTGATCATTGAATTCCTGGACTATGGCATTGCCAACATATTTATAATGCTGACCAATTTCTTTTTGGTGCTTAGTTATCCAATTAACTTTGGCATATATTGCGGCATGTCGCGACAGTTTCGCGAAACATTCAGGGAGATATTTATGGGGCGCGTCGCTGGTAAAAAGGAGAGCTCGTCCAAGTACTCTATTGTGAATGGCCCCCGCACCTGCACCAACACCAACGAGACTATCCTCTAGTAATTGGTGATGTTGGTGCCGCGGCGCGGCAGCAGCGACCAGCGTCGCGGCACCGCCGTATGCACCGCCGTTGCCGAGGGCTCCGCCGTGACCACGTCGGAGGCACAGGGCAAAGCGCCGCAGCATCAGCATCTGCAGTTGCATCATTACCATCATCATCATCATCGTCGGACCAGCAACATGGACATCATAGCCGAGGAGCGCAACGTCTAAGATTTACCAACATTATCAGTGGGCGCAGGTGGTGCATTCCATGGTAAAGATCCTTTGGTTACTTTGTAAGAAATATGTGCGAATTCTCTGGTTTCAAACCAACTAATTAAATGTTCCATTGAGTACGACAAAAATTGAATAGCTATTAATTTCGATTTCTTAACCTTTTTGCCAATTAGAATATTTTCTTGGCCAACACCTTTATGTCTGTGTGTGTACGTGTGATGGAATATACGATTTGATATCCAAATGCTATATACACTACTATTAATCTTTGATCCCAGATTATCAAACTTACGGTATTCATATACTAACCAAAAATAAAATAACTAAAAAATAAATCTAAAAACAATACAGATTTTAGATGTTCAATGTTCAAGTTCACTGATTAAAATGTTAAATACCTATTGAAATATGTGTATTTATGAATGTGTACCAAACTATAAAATATATATTACCAAATATTGAATATAATGAATCACAAGAATACGTTTGAAATTAGCAATAAAGTCTACTGGAACTTCAAGTTTATGGAGTGAAACTTGATTGGCTTACAATAAAAGAAAAAGAGAAAAGTGAATTAAATGTTTAAAGAATTGGCAAATTTGAAGTGATAGCTAACTTGAATAAATTATAAAATATACTTCTTATTAAATGATGTAGGAATAAAAGGAATGTTTAAAACTACAACTAAGGAAACTCTGATAACCATATACAACAATTAGTTATGTACGAATATATCTATCTATACCTTATCAAAACAATTTTGAAATTCTTTATGAAACTAAAAGAAATAATAATTATACAAATAAAATTTAATTGAATACAAAATTAATTACAGGAACCGCATGGAAAAGTGTAGTATGTATCCAAAAAAATAAAATTAAATAAAATAAAAATAAAAAGAAAGAAAACAGAAACTGGCCTAAAAAGTATTTATATAAATAAATACAGAAGATGCTAATCCAAAAAGTTTATTTTTGTGTGATTTTTGTGCGGCATTTGTAAAAGTTATTGTAAACAACAACAAAAGCAAAAAAACCAATTAAACTTTAACAATAAGCTGATTATGTTTAATTAAAAACTAATCGTAAGCTAAACAACAGACACCCAACGAAAATATATGAAACTCATTTAAATTTGTAAACCTTTTGAGCCCCAAAGTTTACGGATTTAAATGGCAGGCAAATATTTTCAATAAGTAAAATCAATAACACGAATTTCAAGTTGACAAAGCAGCAACAATAAGTTTCAATCTTTGGTGTTTGCAAGTAAAATAAATATATCAAAATATATATACACATATATGTATTTGAAAAAAAAAAAAAAAAAAAAAAAAAAACTGAAAATACATTCAATGATATTTAACAGTTTTAGGATTTCTTATGTAAAGTTTTTTTTTTTTGCCTAGATCCTAAGAATTATAGGCACATATACAAGTACTACATACATATACATATATAAATGTAAGTAATAAACCGAATCAATGTTGATATGTCTGTGTACAAGTATTTATTTAAAAAAGAAAAACAAAAAAAATACAAATTTCATGTTTAAATGTTTTAAATGAATGTAATTTAGTGGAATAAGAAAAAAGAAATATGAATAAACCAAAACTTCAAGTTTTTTGTCTGAATGGAAATAACTTTTACGCGTTACTTTATTTAATCTTGCTTTATTATCAATTCTGATTTCAGCGAATATCACGCCAGAGGTCCGTAAGTATTTTGGCGTCATTTTAAAGTTTACCCCAGCCCAATATCTCATGCTAACACTCTAGCGGTCAATTCCTAATAGCTTTTGTTCAATTTGTCAATTTATGACCAATTCCTTATCTTAATATAAATTAAGTTGTATATGGATTTGTAATAAATAATACAAAATTAATTAGCTAACGAGAACTTAATGACGCAGGTCATTATTGCAAAAATACTAATTTGTATATATTTTTATATACATCACAACACAACCACATATAATAGCGATAGTGAAGGCGAGCAAGTCAGAGACTGTGAGAAAGCGAATGAGAATCGCAAAAAAGAGCAATTGAGTAGGAGAGTAAAAGAAGAAAAACGTGGTAGGAAGTCAAAGGCATATCAACATGTTAGCAACTTGACTTCATGAAAATCGCATAGAAGGGTGATTCACCTTAAAAGTAAACAGGTGCAGTTTCAAAGTTAAATGAGTTAGACACAACTTGTAATAAAAACCCAGATAAGAATGCAACAAATAAACTTTACAGAGCAACATATACTCTATCGCACGTATATAAAAAAAATATATTTTTTATTTTTGCCTTGGTTAAAAGCATAGGTTAGTTATCAGAAAGCTGAAATAAAATTCATCTCATAAATGCCACATAGAATGTAGCTAGTTTCTAAAGCTTTCGCGACGTTTTCATTATGTTTGTATTTAATACACCTGTATTTATGCGATTATTTTTTTGTTGTTGTTCAATTAGCAGAATCTGCTTAGAGCCTTCATCAGCTAGTACAACTGACAGGTGTTCCGTGTCTGGGTCCACTCACAGCCGAAGGCGCGTGCAAAGGCCTTGGAGCTGGCGACGGCATCGTTAACTCGCTGCCGGCTACCGCCATGGAGGCTGCTATCCTCCAGATCCGGGTCGTCCTGGCAGAAGAACTGGGCAAAGTTAAGAAAGAAATGCTGCTGCACTGTGTGCCTCCCTTCAGATGGATTGCTGTTGTCAGCCGTTGCACTTGAGGGCGTTGCGTTGTAATTTGCCTTAAAATAGTTGTCATAGGCCAAGTACAACCCATTCACATCGGCAAATTTCTCATCGGCCATTTGGTCGTGACGACGAAACAGACAACGCCTGTGACTGCTAAATCGCCGATTGACGAGCAGGCGCATTTTTTGCTGTCCTGTTGCCTTATTGCCACGCCCATCGTAAAACACATCGGTGGGCGCAAAGCCATGCGATAGCTCGTGCGCGAGCAGAAAGCCCAACGCGCTATGCGTGTAGACCTCCGCCTGATGTGGTCGGTAAAGGTTAGCACCCAGCAGCGATTGCGGTAGGATTACCAGATTACTATCAGGCAAAAAGAACGGCGAGGCATAGCTGCCAAATCCATCAGACTGCAGTAAGTATAGCTCGTTGTCCGTTTCCATTTGCATCGCACTGTCAGCAGCCGCCGCCGCCCAGCGCTCGGCCTGTCCCAGCATGGCCAATAGATTGCCATAGTAGTCACTGGCATTCAGCTGCAGCTGTGCATAGTGCGCCTCAAGCGTTTGTTGCTGCTGCTCCGCACTGCCCAAGGGCAGCACGCCGACGCGTAGCCGCATGCGTTTCACCTTTTCGAGCAGAAAACGCTGTGTGGAGGGCCGGAACTGATTGCGATTGTCCAACAGCCGCAGCTCAAATCGCTGACGCAGCTGCTCGAAGAGCTTATGCATTGTGGCATTCGTGAGTTGTCGCTGCTCCGGTGGCTGCTGCTGCTCCAGCAGCCAATCGGCAGCATGCGTCAACAGCTGGCGCGACTGCGCGGCGCACTCTTGCCGCCCAAATGTCGGCGCCGGCAGATTGTCCAATTTGTGCAGCAGCCGAAGCTGCAGATACCGTGCGATGAGCGGTGCCGGCTCCGCTGCCAGCATATCGGACGCACAGCGCACGTGGGGCTGCAACTGAATTGTCGTCAATAGTTCTGACATTTGCAATAGCTGCAACCAGTTTAAAGCGGACGGCATCACCACATGCTCCTCGTCGTGTTCGCTTTCGCGCGCCTCCTCAAACAGTTCTTTAACGCCACAAAACAATAGCTGGTTCTCCAGCTGTTTGACCTGCAGCCATAGCTTACCCTGTGGCACGCCCAGCGGTTGTAGAGCGTGATAAAGTTGTCTGAAGCGCGTGCGATTCAACGGCTGAAAGTCATCCAGAAGCTCAGCCACTAGAACTGGCCATGGTGGGTGCAGCTGCAGCAGCCACAGCTCTGCATCCTTAAGCTTCAGAGATTTCGACATTGGTTTCCGCTCAGTTTCGTACTGCCACAGTGTAGGGAGCCCATAGTTCTTTATTAAGCGGAGCAGTGGTCTCCAGTCATTCTGCTCGGTCTTCATATCGACGTGGCTAAATTCGCGCAGCCAGCGCACAAATCGCCCCACATCGTAGCGTTCGTTGAGGGCTCGACAGGCCGCATAACTATCGCGCAGCAGCTGGACAAAGCGCGGCTGGCCAGGGGAGGGCGGCTGATCCAGCAACGCTGCCAGCCGCTCATGGTACATATAGTCCAGTTGCTCCAACTGACTGTTGTAAGCGTCAGCGGCATGCGCCTGGGCCCAGCCACCGCAGGCATGCTCATAGAAATCCACGCATGCATCGGCGCTGGCGTTCATGTGGCGCACCAAGTAGCCGGGCAGCCTCTGACTGGCATTGCCCGCTACAATGCTGGCGAAGATTGGCAGCAACAGCGACTGCAGCTTGCACATTGCACGTACGTTGCCCATGAAAATAGCGTGTGAACTGCGCAACACCATTTGCCGATGCGATCGATGATAATGAGCAAGCGCTGTGCTTATTGAAGCTGGCAGCGCTGACGCTAAATGCCCCCCTTGATAACCCACTCAGAGGCTGCTGCTCTGATGACATCATCGCCTTCAACTCAATGAGCACCGATGCGCAGGCTAATTAATATATTACCTAACTGAAAAGCGAACTACGCAACTGTCAATAAATCTGAGTGAGTGTAGGTGCTATATATATATATATATATATATATATATATATATATATATATATATATATATATATATATATATTTTATATTATTATATATTATATATACCTGCGGGTATTGCCCGCCTCTACCTATCATGATCTCCACTTCTGTTTAAACATATGTTTTAATTGTATCGAAGAAATAACCAAGTGTTGGAATCAATGGTTTCCGCCCACGTTAGTCTTGCGGTGAGAATCTGAAAGCTGAAGAATAAACTTTCGTTTATTTGACCTTTGACCAGCATTTGCCACCCAATAACGTATCAAATAAATTCTCTCAAAGATATTTGAAAATGACTTTAGGGCCAATCGGATGATAAGCAAAAAACTTGAAATCGCATTTCTAACGAGGAAGTTCGCATTATGCGAAAATGGTGAAACGCATCTCAGATGATTTTTCATATAGATCCTTGGAAATGAATTTGAGAGCGAAACGTCACCCAATAAATCTTTTTGGAGGGATGGATTTTCCGAAATGTGTGTAACACCCCTCAAATGAAATCTTCAGCACATTATTAACTTCAGCTTCCCAGCTCTTACGTGAGTGGATCCCCAATCAGACAGTCAGTCGTTCAGTCACTCAGAACAAGAATTTTGACCAAATATTATGTTTATGTTGCCAGATTTAGATGCCACATTGATATTGAGGCCAATCCATGAACAATGAGACAAGCCTAGTGGAAATTGGATGAGATTTGACCGAGTAATGGAGGTGGGAAATTGTGACTAATGTCAAAATACGATATTTGAAGGTACCATTTTCACATCAATTTTAACCAAGAATAATGGTTCGAGATTTAGATGCCAAGAAGGCCCAGGCCATGCGGGTGGGAAATTTGGAGCTTTTTTTATACCCTGAACCCATTAAAAATGGGTATAAGGGTATATTGTATTTCTGCAAAATCCAAATGTATGTAACAGGCAGAAGGAAGCTTCTCCGACCCCATAAAGTATATATATTCTTGATCAGCATCAATAGCCGAGTCGATCTAGCCATGTCCGTCTGCCCGTCCGTCCGTGTGTCCGTATGGATGAACGCAAGGATATCAGAACCTATCATAGCTAGAGACTTGAAATTTTAGATGTAGGTGCTCCTAGTGCCTAGTAAGAGGTTCTAGTCGGAAGCTCCCGAATAGAGAATACCCTGAGCCCTCTTCTTCCAAAATCAAATATTCTATATATTTTAGAAGCTATATGTCAAGTTTGGTGACTCTATTATTTACCAAAATCGCCCAAAAAACATGATATCGATATTGATTTTTATCGATTGCTTGGAAACGGAGTAAGTTATCGATTATCGGGAACAAACTCGATCTGCGCAGGCACTAGGAGCACACACAACTCAAATTTCAAGAATATATATACTCTATGGGATCTGCCTGTTACATACATTTGGATTTTGCACAAATACAATATACCCTTGTACCCATTTTTAATGGGTTCAGGGTATAAAAAAAAGAAATTATTTAACCCTAGGAATTTACCACAAACACAAATATCTTGTCTTACAAAGCAGAAGACAAGAATATTGCAACCACTTCAGAGTTTTTGATTAATGACGGGCCAAAATTCATCATTTTCCTTATTTCTATTCATGGGGCAACATCGTCAATTTATATATATAATAAAGTGAAAGTTTTTAAGCACAGTAGTTTGTGAGCCAAAATTCAAGTAGATTTTAATTTGCATAAAGCGCTTCACTTTTGCCACTGATTTAACTGTTTTCTGGTAGCACGGCCACGGCCACGGCCACGTGGTGGCTTCGCAATGTTGCCTACTGGTATACAAAATGCGTGCGACAACTATGACAAACTGAAGTAAAAAAAAAAAGAAATGGAAAGCGAGGAGGCGGCAAGAAAGGGGCCATAAACAAAACTGCAGCACACACAAAAAATGCAACGAAAGTGGGAAAAGGCTGCGTCGTTTTCTCATTCAGATTTAATGCACTTTCCGCTGAAGTGTTGCCTGCTGGGCGGTCCGGACAGCCGGTGGGTATGGCTTGCCATGGGCGGGTCGATGGGCTGTGGGCGGTGAGCGTTGGGCGTTGGGAGATGGGCGCTGGCTGCACTTGAAAGTTCTCATCAAAGTCATAAGATTTCGTTGGCTTTTAGCCTTTGGCATTTGTGTGTGTGTGTGCGTACGACACACACATGTGTGTGCGTGTGTGTGTGTGCGTGTGTGTGTGTGTATGTGTGTGTGCGTGCGTGTGTGTGTGCGTGCGTGTGTGTAAGAGGAAGTGCCCACCAAGAAACTGTCCTTAGATTGTGATGAAAAAACCCACCAAAGTGCAGTTGCCACACTTTTGCAGCAGCTGCCGTTGCCGCTGAGATCTCCACTCAACTGCCACGCATGCGACCTTGATAGGTCCTGTGGCAAGGCTAACCGCACTCAGGCTTTCGTTAGACATGAGCTATTTATAATGGCTGCAGTTTCCAATAAAAAATGAATGTATTATATAAGACGGCGAGGAAGAGGAAGCAGCAGTAGCAAAACGGCAGCAAAAACAACTGATAAATTGTAAGCCTTTTAATGCAACCAGCGGCAGCAGCAGCCGCCCCAAAAAGTAGGCAAGATATATGCTGCACATGCCTCATTTATTTTGCTTCAAATTGATTGACGCCAGCGCACAGCAACACAACAACAAGATACGCACACCCACGCACATAGTAAAAAGTGTGTGCGAGGCACAGTTTCATATTAAAGTAAACAACAGCAGCATCAACAGAAACAACAATAATAACAACAACAGCATTAATACGGGGCCAACAGATAATCAATCAGATGCTGCTTATTGGCTTTTCAAAATGCGTCGAACAAAATAAATAAAAGTCAAAGCGACAATGTGGCATGTTATGTTGCTACAGCCGCCACCAAAAAGGGGCACACAGCCAGAAAAACCCACACCGAGCCCCTCCAACCCACCCCAACCAAAACCCAAAGCCTACAAGTAAGTCGTGCCCAAGGCTGGACCCACAAAAATTGTTGTTAGCCGCCGCTTAATGCCAATTTAATAGTATGTGTGGCTCATGCACGCGTGTGTGTGTGTGTGTGTGTGTATAAGCATGCGACTAAGCCCATCACAGTGTCCAAGTATCGATAAACAAACATAATCAATGGCAATTAGGCTTTTGAGTATTGTTTTTGGTCTCTGGCTGTGCGGCCAACGGTGTCTAATTAATTTTCAATAGAATTTATGCGCCAAACAAACAGATACTCACACACACACATACACACAACCGCACATAAGCAACAGCAATGTTAATATTACCAGCATTGAGGCGTATATGAAATTTGGACATTTCATTAAATGGAATTACGGCCCTGGGCTATGTTTATTGGGCTCACTTTTCAAGTCGGTTTTACCCAATTTTGAGTTAAGTTTAAACTTTTTATTATATACAGAGTGCTCTTATGTCGCTTAACCACAGTTGTTAAGAAAACTTTTTGTGTATTAAGTAAAATGAGTTTATTTTATTGTTTTACTAGCGGTTATTAGACCCACATTTCCAGTTACATTTTAAATAAGTATTTGAAAATGAGCTTGAGGTCGGGTGCATAATACAAAAAACAGGTAACAGGTTCTAGTCTCAAGCTCCCGACTAGGGGATACCCTGAACCCTGTTCTTCCAACATCAAATATATATATATATATATATTCTATTTTAGAAGCTACATGTCAAGTTTGGTGACTCTAGCTCTTATTATTTACCAAAATTGCCCAAAAAACAGGATATCGATATCGATTTTTATCGATTGCTTGGAAACGGAGTAAGTTATCGATTATCGGAAACAAACTCGATCTGCACAGGCAATAGGAGCACCTACATTTAATATTTCAAGTCCCTAGCTATGATAGGTTCTGAGATCCTTGCGTTCATACATACGGACAGACGGACGGACGGACGGACAGACAAACGGACATGGCTAGATCGACTCGGCTATTGATGCTGGTTAAGAATATATATACTTTATGGGGTCGGAGATGCTTCCTTCTGCCTGTTACATACATTTGGATTTTGCACAAATACAATATACCCTTATACCCATTTTTAATGGGTTCAGGGTATAAAAAGATTGCAATCGAATTTTTGTGGGGCGATCCTCAAAATTCGTTGAAAAACGTACATATTCTTTTGTAACAGGTGGCCTTACTAAGTTTCACCTGCACGTGGGGAAACTGGGAGAAGAACGCTTGCATGAAACTTTTTTGTCAATCATTCGATCGAATTCTTTTTGTTAGCTGTTCGCACAAAAACTGTACATTCGCTCATGTTACATGTGAACTCCTCTGTAATTTTGAGAGTGTTGGAACAGAAGATAACACTCTCGATAAGTATCGATTATAATCGACAAGAAATTCGTCTGAACTGAAACGCTTAGCATGAGACTCTATAAAAAAAGCTAATAGGAATATCTTCAACCATTTTTGAAGATTGAAAACAACGACAGCTTTAAGGGTTATTATTGATATTATTTAGTAAGAGCTGTTGCTTTGTTTAGCTCATATCTGTGATCTGAAGCCTAATGAAAGTTTCAACTGTCTTTCATTTGTGTTAATAGGTTTCATATCCCTGCTCTGGGCTATTAAGGCAAATTATAAAATTACAAAACGAGCGAACGTTAACAGAAACTAAATAAAAACGGATGCCAAAAGACGGCAAATGGCAAATTTCCCTTGCAATTAAACATAAAGACCGAAAACCCCTAAAAC